GATTGGTCCGAAAGGGCTTGCAGCGTGACTTCAAGCGATAAGGAGGGAAGTTATTGAAGTCCTGGTGAATGGGAATGCGATTCGCAGATGGGTGGGGGAGAGATTTGTGACAGCACAGGGCAGCCAGGGTGCAGGGCCCGACTTGAGGGTTCCAGTGATGCACCGCTTCGCAGGGTTCAGTTGAACATCAACGAGTCGAGTGTGGCTCCTGTGGTAGAGCCAAGTTTGGGTTCTCCCACCTCTTTCAAGATGTCTTGCCAGCAGCGTGCAAGAGCAAAGCAATGTCAAGAGAGGCACTCTCTGTACTTAAGGCCCTTCCGCTAGCAGTCACGTGAGCAAATACATGACAGGGCTGCACCATTATCAACCACGTTGCGTAATTGGCCAAAGTGAATTTCTCCGCACCAATCCACACATATCATTTAATGCGATCATCCCATACGCAATTCCCTCACTCTACAATTCTCAAGTGCCAATCATAGGCTGGAATTTTCGTTCACAAGTAGAAGAAATAATTCAGCGGTATGAGCAAGTACTGTAATTGCAGGGATTGTGCCTTCATACGTAATGTATGTGTGTGTATGTTGAACTTCTTTCGCACCGTACGTAGCCAACCGTGCTAATCGGAGGTGCAGGGGAAGGACAATAAACCTAAAGACACGAAAAATCTAAATCAATTTAACACGGAGGCTTTCGCGACCAATATCAACCATAATAGAGGTTTTTTTTGGGTTAGATCGCCTAAATATATAAATGTGTCGTTAAACGCGACACCACCCGACACAGTCAATTAGTAAGGTTAGTCATGTAAACAGAACATGCCAATTCGTTACTAGTACAGCACACCGGTGTGTTGGAGAGCACATCCACAATATTTACAATCTGAGTACGACGTTTCGCCAGTATTTAGAACTAGCTTCATCAGGCGACAGACAAATCTAAATCAACTGAAGCTGCATAGAAACAAATCACTGAAGACTATTGCTTTGCACCCTGCCCCTGTAATTTACAATCATCAATTGTTCGTTTCAGTGTCTGAGACAGGGACACAGTGTTCAACTCCTGATGTACGACTCGGTGCTGGGGCATTATTCTGGAGACGAAATAAGTATTTCACCCTGTGAGTGACCCCTTTTTGTTAAATAACAACAAGACAAACCCACTTGTGAAGGCCTTGGTGCTCTGTTATCCCGTGGCGATGAGGAATTCGGTATGGGCTAATGCCCGAACATGTGATATTCTTGACAGTAAAGCCACATTAATTTTTTAAACATACTCTACGATGAATTATTTGAAATCCTTTCAAGATAGATTTGCTCGCATGGCAAGAGCTCGATGTCCACACGATACCTATTGTGCTTCACGCAAGCTCACAATTTGATGCATGCATCTGCAGTCCTCACTAGGGATCAGCATCCGATTTACTAAACCAAACCTAATTGTTGAAGCAACAGTCCTTTAAAACATTCCTGCGGAGGGATTTGGTAGGAACGTTGGGTTGCTCGGTCAATGGCCAGGGTCAACGGCGGCGTGGTGTATTCCGCAAATATGCCCGACTGTGAGGGCAGGCACAAGCCGGCGTGAGTAGGTTAAACGTTGAGGTTTATAAGGGCACCACAGGGTGACCAGCCCCACTCCTCCCACCCCCCACCCAGCCCCACCCTCCCCACCCAGCCCCTCCCCACCCTCCCCACCCCACCCAGCCCCTCCCTCCCCACCCAGCCCCTCCCTGCACGATGGACGGACACAATGATCTCCTGTGGGCTGGTGGAACCAGTGGGTTCCTACCAGTAAAAAGTATCCTGAAGCAGAGGATCAGTGCTGGATAGAGACACATTTGCCAATGTGATTTGTAACTTTGATCCTTACGCGTGTATCTGTAGTGCTATTTTAATTGCGCTGTGTTCTGGGACTGTTGTTGTTATTGTTTAGCTGCCTTGCCCATACTTTCTCCATTTTATAATTTTAAAAATGGGCAGGAATTTAGAAACTTTTGCAATTCGTGCTGACTGGATATACTTCAATTTGATTTATGTATTTTTCGTGACTTGCTTATCTTGCCTGTACTTTGCACTCCTATAGGTTTTTATATTCGTTGTATTTGTTTTCTAATTTGACCAACCCCTACTGGACATCTGCGACAAAAAGTGCTTTGAAGCTTATCGGATTCCTTCTCCGGTCTAAATTAAGATTCTGATTCTGAAAGCGAGTGCCAAAGCGTACAAAATCCCACGTAAGTGCGCACTCTTGAACTAAATAACTCAGAACGTGAAAAATGGCATCACGAATCTCGGATAGCGAAGCAAATTTGAGCTTGGGCAATCCTTGGATGGGTGACCACTACAATCAAACTATGCATGTATTGTCTGTGTGTGTGTGTATGTTGAACTGCTTTCCCACCGTATGTAACCAACCGTGAGAATTATAGGGCTGCCTTTGCGGCTATGAAGAGAAGAACAATCCATTGTTGGTATGTTCTCTTATATGCACTCTTATATGCACTCTTATATATACTCTAATATGTATACTCTTATATGTATGTATTTACTCTATAGTAATAACTACTAACTCTATAGTAGTATCGATTTACTATATAGTAGTAACTACTAACCCTATAGTAGTATCTATTGACTCTGTAGTTGTATCTACTGAGCCCAGTAGTAGCTACTGACCCTACAGTAGTATCTACCTACTCTATAGTAGTATCTCCTGACTGTATAGTAGTATCTACTGACTCTATAGTAGTATCTATTTACTATATAGTAGCATCTGCCAACTCGATAGCAGTATCTACTATCACCACAGCAGTGCATACCGACTGTGGTGGTACCTGCTATGACTACAGCAGTACACACTGACTGTGGTGGTACCTGCTATCACTACAGCAGTGCACGCTGACTATGGCAGTACCTGCTAAAATAAAGCTGTCTTTGGTGTGGACCAATCAGTTTCAAGGACAATGCATATATTATCAGAGGATGTTTTTGGTTTGCATTCTGACCACAAGCATTGTGGTTAATGCAGACATGATTCCTTGTGAAAGGTTTCAGTTTGGTGTTTTAACATCTTAACACCTGTTTTGTTGCCAGAATAAAAAGGAGAAAACCCTATTATCATTATATATTTTATCACGAAACTTCTTAAACTTTAGGATGACCCTGCCCAACGAGTGGAATTCATCAACCTAGAGGCTGTAATATTGTGGGGTCCAAATTCGACAAGGTAATGACGTTGGATCTTTCTATGTACAGTACAAGCAAAAATGTTTGACAATTATATATTTGTGCAAACTTTCAGACCTCGGTGCGTTATGGAACGTAATTCAAATGTATATCAGTCGGTCACTAGTTGGTATTGGATGTGTCGGGGGAGCGGTGGCGCAGTGGTTAGCGCACTGCGCTCTAAATCAGTTGACAAGAGTGTGGTGCGTAGCCGTGGCTCGTACCAGTAGTGAGTCGTGATGGAACACGGCCTTTCCTCTCCACCCCCGTAGCATCCCTTCATCACGATCTCTCACTGATCAGCCTTGATACTGCTAATGATGGAAGATAATTATCATAGTTTGTGATTGCGTCGCTGATGATTGTACTGGAGGAATCCGATGAGCTATAAAGCTCTTTTTCACACACGTCCAGTTGGGACGTGGGGTCAGAAAATTACAACAACACAATGCAAAAACACGATTGCAAAGTATATTAAAGGGAAACAAATGACCTAAAATATAAAAATAAAACTCATCATGATGACCGTTATGATGACGTTGGAAATTCGTTAACCGAAAATGTGGATACTTTTAAGTCGCGTCTAAAAATATATGCCGTCTTAATTGCGCTTATTCTATGTAAGCTCTCTTTCTCTCTTGGGCGTACAAGGCGCCTTGAGACATTAATGGAAGGCGCCTTCCAAATAAACATAAATTATTATTGTTGTCACCAACGTAAACAACAACAAACACCGAACTCCGCCACCAGAAAGAAAGCTATCGTCATTGCACGCCGCTGGCCCCGGGTCAAATCTTCCCCTCGCGTTGTTTTGCGGTCGTGATGACACCGCCACTGAGCGAGATGCCCAGGACGGCGCACCGAAAGTTCATCAGCGCAGCGAAGTTGAGCGGCTGCCACGGCAGCCTGGAGCACAGCGTGACTTTATTTTGGCAGGTAAAACCCACTGAGATATCAGCTTGATTTTGAAGCTTTCGTGACTGCAGGAATCCATACTCTTTGGTTCTTTCGGTAAAGTCACGTAGGTATAAGATTAAATAAATCACGACGTTTCGGGCGCAACACAAGCGTTCGCTTATACTATACGTGACTTTACCGAAATAACCAAAGAGACGAGATGTAAGATGTTGTTTTTTTTGTTCTTTGGCCACAAATTATCGCTCGACGAAGTGGCTTATCACGTGGACATTTATATCAGACAAAAATAAATATATAAATAATCTAAACGCATGACTCTGAATAGCGGAGGGAGGGGGGGGAAACCAGAGGACCCGGAGTGAAAAAAAACCCACGCGACCACGGGGAGAGAAACTCCGCAAACCCCTTCTCGGCGTTAGAGTTGTGCACGCTTTTGGAAGGCGCGGTCGGAATAGCCTGCATGGGTGTCTGCATTGTGGTCCTGTAGGCTGTACACACTGCGTAATGTCAATCATTATTCTCTCTCACCTGATGACGCACGCTTGTGTTGCGACCGAAACGTCGTGTTCTTTAATTGTTATTTTCTCTATCTACGTGACTTTACCGAAAGAACCAGAGAGTTTCGATTTAAAGCTTTCGTGACTGCAGGGATTCATCTTCTTGGTTCTTTCGGTAAAGTCACGTAGAAAGGAAGTAATAAAATAATAAAAATATTATGTTTTATTTGTATTATTTTATTATGTTTTATTATTATTTTATTACTTCCCTTCTACGTGACTTTACCGAAAAAACCAAGAAGATGAACCAGAGAGTATCAATCATTATTGTCATCAACAACGCAAACAACAAACAAACCCTCACCGAACACCGCCACCAGAAAGCCATCGGCGACGCACGCGGCTGTCCCCAGGTCAAATCTTCCCCGGGCGTTGCTCGCTGTCGTGATGACACCGCCGCTGAGCGAGATTCCCAGGTCGGCGCACGCCAAGTTCACCAGCGCGTAGTTGAGCGGCCTCCGCAGGAGCCTGGAGCGCAGGGTGACGACGACGACCAGCCCGTTGAAAGCGATGGACAGAGCCGACGTGATGCCCATGAGCACTGAGAGCGCGATGAAGTTCACCCCGTGCGGAGCGTCGTGGCCGATCGGAGTCACGGGGCCGCTTCCATTGGCGGAGAGTCGCTCCTCGTCCGAGACGTTTAACGGCGGTGTGGACATCGCCGGCGCTGCTCTGTGTGTGTGTGTCTCGATATCTCTCTGTCTGTCTGTCTGGCTGCTCTGTGTGTGTGTGTCTCGATATCTCTCTGTCTGTCTGTCTGGCTGCTCTGTGTGTGTGTGTGTCTCGATATCTCTCTGTCTGTCTGTCTGCTCTGTGTGTGTGTGTCTCACTCTGTCTCTCTGCTCTGTGTGTGTCTCGATATCTCTCTGTCTGTCTGTCTGGCTGCTCTGTGTGTGTGTGTGTGTGTCTCGATATCTCTCTGTCTGTCTGTCTGACTGCTTTGTGTGTGTGTCTTACTCTGTCTGTCTGCTCTGTGTGTGTGTCTCGATATATATCTGTCTGGCTGGCTGGCTGCTCTGTGTGCTGTGTGTGTCTCTCTCGCTCTGTCTGTCTGCTCTGTGTGTGTGTCTCGCTCTGTCTGTCTGCTCTGTGTGTGTGTCTCTCTCTCTCTCTGTCTGCTCTGTGTGTGTGTCTCTGTCTGTCTGATATGTGTGTGTGTCTCGCTCTGTTTATCTGCTCTGTGTGTGTGTGTCTCACTCTCTCTGTCTGTCTGTGTGTCACTCTGTGTCTGCTCTGTGTGTGTGTCTCACTCTGTCTGTCTGCTCTGTGTGTCTCTCTCTCTTTCTATCTGCTCTATGTGTGTCTCTGTCTGCTCTGTGTGTGTCTCTGTCTGACTGCTCTGCGTGTCGCTCTCTCCTTGTGAACGGAGCAATGAGAGGTGATGCGTTTCTGCGCTCGTTTTTTAAGTTGAGCGAGCCAGAGCGCGCGTGTGTGTGTGTGGGTCCGTGTGTGTGGGTATGTGCGTGTGTGTGGGTGGGTGCGTGTGTGTGTGGGTGCGTGTGTGTGGGTGTGTGTGTGTGTGTGGGGGTCCGTGTGTTTGGGTATGTGGGTGTGTGTGGGTGGGTGGGTGCGTGTGTGTGTAAGTGCGTGTGTGTGGGTGCGTGTGTGGGTGCGTGTGTGTGCCTGTGTGTGTGTGGGCGTGTGTGTGGGGGCGTGTGTGTGGGTATGTGTGTGCGCGCGTGTGTGTGCGCGCCTGTGTGTGTGTAGGTGCGTTTGTGTGCCTGTGTGTGTGTGGGCGTGTGTGTGGGTGCGTGTGTGTGGGTATGTGTGTGCGCGCGTTTGTGTGTGCGCCTGTGTGTGTGTAGGTGCGTGTGTGTGCCTGTGTGTGTGTGGGCGTGTGTGTGGGTTCGTGCAGAGTGACGGTGGAGCGATTTAACGCGCCGCCGTGTTTACGAATTCGGTGACCCGAGTGTGACCCGAGTGTGGGTCCGTGTGACCCGAGTTCGATTCCCGCTCACGAGCACCATCGCCGGTGACGCTTATCTGAACCGGTCCTCGGCCTCCCCTAGGTCGACTCAGCCTCAAATCAATACCCGATGCGGTGTAAAAAAAATAATCGCCGCTCGGGAGACAAAGGCGGCCGGGCGTGGTGCTGGCCACCCACCCCCTCGTGTGCCGTGCTGGCCATCATAGGCGCTGCTCGTTAACAGCACTTGCCCCTACGGGAGGTTAATTCCGTATACGGGAGGAGGATCTTGGTCTCGTGCGTGCACGCATGGCCACGTGCTTTGCGCGTGCGAGCTCAGGGGTGTCGGTACAAAACTCTGCGCTCGTTTCGACGCTCAGCCATTTGTGTTTGTGATACTGCGTCGGAGGTGCTATTTTGAAGGTTCATGGTCCGAAACGTCACTACATGTTTATTCCTTTTACGACAGAGTTTTTCTTTTTTTGCTGACGAGGGTGTTATTGCAAATGTTTTGCTCTCTTAAATATACGTTGCGGTGTTTGAATTTCCGGGCAGAGTGCTGTTCACAGCCACCTGGGTTCGCAACAGGTTCAGTCGCTGGTGGGCTCGCATTTGTCATTGCTCCATCCCTAGCCCGGACCTTCTCCCGTGATTCGCTGGGCTGCTGTTTAGCTCGGCGGTTCCGGGATTCTGTCCCGGCGACTATGAAAAGTGACTTTGAGGAGGGGCGGAGTGGGTGGGCAAACGCGGAGGTGATGGAATTCTCACCCCTTCCCCTGCCCCTCGCCACAATTAAAATATTTATTCTGCAGAAGGAATACGATGAGCTAGAAAAGTTCATTTTTCACAGACGTCCACAGTAGGAACGGGTCAGAGAGTTACAGCAACAAAAATACAACAAAAAACATGATGGGAGTGCAAAGAATGGTAAAGGTAAACAAATCACTAAAATTATCTGAAAAAAATGTTGTGCGATTAATTAGCCCTGGCTGTAGCATGAACGGTGGCAGAGGCTACGATGTAGTGGCCCTGAAGTCACGAGCTACAGCGTCTCACGGCCAGGCTACTAACGAGCTGTTCTTCATTATCGAATTTAATTACTTATGCCGGAGACGTAATACGATGTGTTACGTAAACGTGCAACACCCACCTCATTCCCGCCACCCCCAATGCAATGTACTCCCACCCGCCACCCACACGAAACATCATTTCGGGCACATTGAAGGACACCCATATTTGTGCGTACGCATTTCAAATGTATAAAAAAAAATCAAATACAAGGGCATAAAATAGTCCATGGAATGACAAGTCTGTTTGCGGTGGAATGCAGAAGAGCCATTATTCTCTTCTTCTAGCTCTGATTAGCACACGGTGAGCTACATACGTTGTGAAAGAAGTTCAACATACCATTGGAACCTCATTTGCCAGTAAAAAATATGATAATTGTTTTTTTTACCCTTCCATCTGGCAACAAAACTGACACCTTTTTTTACAAGGAGGCATGTTTGCATAGACCACAATACCTGCAGTCATAATGCAAACAAAAAACATAACTCTGATAATGTGCACTAGTGTCCCATTTGGCGTCATCTGGTCCAACCCATGTGAGACTAGGCTCTTAGGAAAGCTGTCTCGGATGTGGACCAATCAACTTCAAGGACAGTACATACATTATCATAGTTATGTTTTTTGTTTGCATTATGACTGCAGGTATTGTGGTCTATGCAAACATGACTCATTGTAAAAAAAGGTGTCAGTTTTGTTGCCAGATGGAAGGGTAAAAAAAACAATTATCAAGTTCAACACAAAGATCGTGGTTTTTTAGTTTTTACCGAAGACCGACATAATTCTGATGCCGAATTCCGTGTTAGAAAAACAGACGGATGGTTAATATCTTTGCGGTGGCAAAATAATCTTGCTAAGGTGCAGCACTGCAATTGCACGCCGTTAGCCAGCAGAGGCCCCCTAGAGGGTAATTGGCCTACTCTTCCACGCGTTCGTAGAAGAGGTGGGAATATCCACACTTTGCTCCACCGCTTGCGACCCAGCGATCAACTTAGCTGTAGGGAACTCATTTAGAAACGTGCATTGAGATTATTTCGCTGATATCCATTTCCACATGATAGACAACCTTTGTTGGGCTATCATTTGTGGCCAGGTCGCTTCTGAAAACCAAGATAATCGCTCAGTGCGCTTTGCCTGGTAAGAATTTTTTTAATTGAGTTTTATTTGTGTGTATATATTTTATTGATTTGAAGCTTTCGTGACTGCAGGAATCCATACTCTTTGGTTCTTTCGGTAAAGTCACGTAGGTAGGAAAAAATAATAGATCACGACGTTTCGTGATGACGATTGCTTGCGTTACGATCGAAACGTCGTGATCTATTGTTTTTTCCTACCTACGTGACTTTACCGAAAGAACCGAAGAGTTTGTGTATATATATATTCAGTGATTTGTTTATCTCTCCTATACGTTGCAGTCCTATCGTGTTTTATGATTCTGATGCTGCTGCTGGGTGGATAGAGGTTGGAGGAGGGAATTTTCCAACTCACTCCACTCGTGGTGCCGTTTGTTGCTGACCGTTTGGCCTTTTTGGGCCTTCAGGTTTGTGTTCAGCAGCTGTGATAACAACAAATACGGCAACACCACGTGTCTGGAGTCTCACCTATACCTCCCTTTTTTCTGAGACGCTTGGCCTATTAAACGCGCCAAGCTGTTCTGCAAGTTCCTTGAAACGTGGATAATTTACACTCTTTACATAACCATGGAAATGTGTTGCGTTGCCAAACGTTGAATACCGAAATTGCATTTTCCCAGTTCTCAATTTTTCGCCGAATAATTTTCTTTGGCGGTTTCATGAAAAAAAAAATGTACACGTGAATGTAAGATTTTTTTTTACAAACATGCAAATAAAGTGAGTTGCTTGTTTGCTGAACGTCAGGCATTCTGTAGTATTCTTTACTTCTGTCTTCAGAGGTTCCCTCTCGTGTGCGTCTAGTTTGCGTGAACATAAAATGGGACCCTTTTTCGTCAGTATCAAAGTATGAAAGAAGAACTAAAGTTTTTTCCCTTTATGGAAATAAAACAGGTGTTACGGTGTTCAAACACCAAATAGAAACATTTTGCAAGGGATCAAGTTCGCATTACCCACACGTACTTGTGCTGAACATGCACACAAATACGTGACTCGGCGCTAAAGAAGACTGCCTCTGGTGTAGGGCAATCAGTTTCATATACAATGCCACATATTACATTATCAGAGCATGTTTGTTTGCATATTCAACGCAAGTAAGTGTGGTTAATGCGAACTTGATTCCTTTCTATTTGGTGTTTGAACTTCTTATAACAACTCATGTTTTATTACCATAAGGGGTAAAACCTATTGTAATTTTTTCATGCGTGAAAATAAATGTCTTGATTGTGAATGGCAATTTTCGGTGGAAAATGTCGAGGGATAATTGGTCAACATTGAGAGGAAGTTGTGGGACAGAGATTGGCTAATGCAATACAAAAAACACGTGAATTGTATTTTGATGTTTAATGTAGTTTAATGGAAGTGCACAATACTTTCTAATAAACCTAACAAAAAAAACCAATATTGGTATTCAACAGAAATGTAATCATAATTTACATAGGCAATCATGGACAACACCAGCAACGGAGCTCAAACAACAGTCAAAGTGACTTCCTTGCTCAGATGAACATTGACGCGGTGCTGAGCCAGTGGTGGATTTCCTATTAGAAACCATTGTTCACTTCTTCTTGGTTCTTTCGGTAAAGTCACGTAGAAGGGAAGTAATAAAATAATAAAAATAAAACATAATAAAATAATTCTCACGACGTTTCGGCCACAACGCAAGCAGCCGTCCTCACGTGAAGAATAGTTCACTTCCCCACGAATCGATGATAAGTTTATTCGACCCCAGGGGGATGATGTCCTGGGTCAACCCTCCACCCAGGATTTGAACTCGTAACCCTCCAATTGTGAGCCTCTTCCCTCTGCCGATAAGCACGGATGGCTACGTCCTGCGCAAAAGAAGCTCAACATACACACAATGGACCGCTTTGCTGGTTCATGTTCTAATAGTAATTTCCAGCCCCTTTACCAATCCAGTGTCGGATGAAGGCCTCTCCACGCCACGCCAGCTATACTTCACGCGGGTATGGCCAGTGCAGGCTGGTGGATGGAGGTGCCGAATATTCATTCAGATATCACGCACCACTGATGTTAGCTGTAGCCAGGAGCTGAACTCAGATATGGGGTTCATAGCAGCACAGAACATCAACCACTGTGTCACGTACCCCCCCCCCCCCCCCATTAATATGTGCTCCTATATTTGAATGCCCGATGACAAATTGTTATACATACTGTATATAGACATACAGCTCGCAAAGCAAATGAACCACAGTGCAAAGATTTTACGTAAACTGTACGACTGCTTTGGAAATGCTGCCGATGACCAAAGCACCAGGGATACGCTTGGCCTGGCCACGTCTTGGCACTATCCAGACTCAAGTGTTGAGCCTGGACAATGCTTGGGTGGGAAAAACACCTCGCTAAAAGCAGGTTGCCAGAGCGCCGTGTAGGAAAATAATAATTTATTGCACTGTACTCCAATGCTTCCATGCCAATGCGTCCCACCTTCACCGACCCGGGCTGACCATCGTATGGTCAAATAACCCACGCGACTTGCACGTGTGCAGAGGCCCTCATCCAGCAGTGGATCGACAAAGGTCTGTAGATAAACATGTGAAAATGCTCCGATGTAGTTTTGATTTCCTGTTAAGAATGTTTAGTTTTTTTCTGAAATAAACGTTGCAGATGAGAGCAAATAGAGGCGTCTACGTGAAAAGTAATAGACCCAACGAACATCAATAAGGACATTTTAAATTGGTGCATTCTACCCATTGCGATGTACGGTTCACAGACATTGTCATTAGCAAAAATAATGGAACACAAAAATAGAGACTGTGCAAAGAAGCGTGGCGCTTTAAATTACTCCGTGACGGACGAAAAATGTAACAGTTAACGCACACAAGGGGAAAATACACAATGCAAACTGTTAATGCAAGTGAGCTGGCCATGGGCAGGACACGTGATGGCTAGAAAGGATGATGGCTGACGGGAAAATAATTGTGAAACGGAGTTGGCCGCCGAGGAATGGATTGGGCCGTAGAGTCCGTCTATGGAGGAGATGGAGCGATGCAATCAGCTGGTGTGCAGGTCCTCGGTGGATTATTGCATTGTTGGATTGCATGAGCTTGGAGAAACCTTAATCCAGCAGTGCACTTGCCCATGGCTGATGATAACGATGATGATCAAGGTTATTTATCATTTGATTATTTAAAAGTTCATGTTGAGATAAAAAAACCCAGCGATGGAAATGCTTATTACAATCTAAGCTCAGGGATGTCACGGTATGATCCAAAAAACTTATCAAAACATGGTGCCGTCTGCTTTGCGTGTGCTACGGAAATACAGCCAGCGGTTAACATCACCCAGCAGTCTGGAACGCTGTTCGGGGACTTTATTTTGGCACGCCACATCCATCTCACTTTATTGTCTTCGTGATATTGCAGTGGTCTGTCTATAGTGGTGTGCGAAAAGGTGTGTGTGTGTATATACAGCGTTTGAAGGATTATAGAAATACACGGAATAATGGAACAGGATGGATAGATCTTCTTGGTTCTTTCGGTAAAGTCACGTAGAAGAGAAATAATAAAATAATACTAATTAAACATAATAAAATAATTCTCACGACGTTTCGGCCACAACGCAAGCAGCCGTCCTCAGGTGAAGAACAGGTCTGTCGGAAAGACAGCGTCTGAATGAACACCACCAGGCTTGGCAGCGTATATTTAAGCTGGGTTGGGTTGGAGGGGGAATAGCGCCTTGACAAAGGAATTTGCATATCAAGAGGAATTTAGCATATTTATGGGAAACGCAGATATGGGATTAGTCACTACTTGTGGGATGCGAAACGTCGTGAGAATTATTTTATTATGTTTTATTTTTATTATTTTATTATTTCCCTTCTACGTGACTTTACCGAAAGAGCCAAGAAGATGAATCCCTGCAGTCACGAATGCTTTAAATCGAAAAGGATGGATAGACACTGAAGTGGTAGTCACTCTCACAGCGTTGCAGAAGTTATCGAGTGAGAAATTAATTATTGGATTTAAAAGATATTGTACGTGAGCTTTCGAAATAAAGGTCACAATTAAACATGCTATTCTGGACAATTACCTTGGATAAACGAAATCAATTTGTCGTAACCATTCTTGATAATGTTAAGAGCCTAAACGCCCTTGTACCGTTCTTGAAATGCTCATGTAATTGTATGCGATGTAGTCCTCGACTTGCCATAAACGATGATCACTTAATAACGTTTACTTTGATGATAATGGATTGCTTGCAAGTGGTAAAAATTTTTATAATTCAAACAATTATAATTCAATGTATGAGTGTATTTACAGGAAAAAAAAACGTTTTCAGTTACTGCTATGGAAATTTAACTCCTTGCACTCTTACCACATTCTGGGGATAATAAGATTCTCTGGGAAGTAAGACGCACTACAAACTTGTGCCTGAACTCATTTCGTGCTGAATCAGAGGTGTGGGGTAGGAGAACAAACTGAACACGAAAAGTAAAAAATTCTGATCTCTCACATGCAAACACTGCACGGCTGCCGCATTGTAAGATGCACCCACGACTTTTCCGTCACGCGGAACCAGTGGAAACATGTGCATCTTATAATCCAGGCACGACGGTATATATATAGAATATAACTCATAACCTTGAAGCAATAACGTTACTCTAATCCAATAATATTGCAATATTAATACTGTATTGTAAAATGTAATAGATTGGACCATTCAAACACGTTTTCGGCAAGCATAACCTTTCATGATATAAATACAATAGTTTAAGTCCCTTGATTTACAAATATAGTAGATCACTTTGCACATAAAAACAAAAACACTTGTATTTTGGCGTAAAGACTGTTAAAGCTGTATTTGCTCAGCAACACTTATTAATATAATAACAACTAAAGGAATCTTAGACTAACCGATTGAAACACAAGGTCGAATTTAATACTTGCAGCCCAAAGCTGTGTAACACACTGACAACGACGATGGAAACATTCATTAAACCAAAGTCGCGTCCTATTTTTGTTTTTAAAGATTCAATATGTTGCACGGAAATGATTTTTTTCTTGAAGCCAAAGAGTAAATAGAGCGGACACATCTGACTTTTCACCTACCACACATGGACCAACGAGTTTTGCACAAAGTTCACGGCTCTGCCAACTGCGGCAGCAACTTAAAATCCCTGCCGATAAATGTCTGTTGGCTATAATGATGGACTCTCACACGAACAACCCAGTGGGAATGTGGGATAGGTTTTTTTTTACTTTGTTGCAAAACATCCTTTGACAACGACTCTTAAACATTATTTTGTGTTATGTATTTCATATGTGAGTTTTGCGTCAAACTAGGACCCATTTATCGCAGAAAGGGGCCTTGTCTATAAATTTAAGGCAGTTGACCAACATTTGTTTAAGCAAGCCTGACTTCTGCTAATGATACACTGATTGTCAAAACTGGTCCAGACTTTGCTGGTATCAAACCAATGTTGTATCGCTTTTTTGTAAATTTTCATTTTTGTATGTAGAGAGACGCATATGGGAAAGAAGACGTTATTTTGCCATCATTCATTTCATGTAATTTTACACTCACGATGCGCGCATTGAGGCGTGCTTGAGAAATCTGATTATTTTCCATGAGTCATCGAGCACTATCCTGGAAACATTTGACGACCCACACGTAACACATAGATGTGTTTAAAATAACCCATCCTGGCTTAATTGAAACAATTGAATATCCGATATTCTATGGTTCTTTCGGTAAAGTCACGTATCATAGAAAAAAGAATAACAATACTAATAAAGTGAATAAAATGTATACAAATATCACGACGTTTCGATCACAACTCAAGCAATCGTCATCAGGAGAAAAAAAATGCTTGTGTTGCGATCGAAACGTCGTGATTAATTATTATTTTTTATTCACTTTATTTTTTATTATTTTATTGTTATTTTTTCTATCTACGTGACTTTACCGAAATAACCATAGACTATGAATTTCTGCACTCACGAAAGTTTTAAGTCAAAAATGTAATATCCGATTTTACAATTTGTATTGTATCATCTCTCCGGAGATGGCTGAACAATGAACTTAAAAATTGGCTTGTTCCTTCCACTGAATCTACCTACCGTGAACCACACACCGCTCACTGGAAATCACCTTGCGTGGGTTATCCAGTGTTTCCAGGACACCTCCTCATATCGTGTATCTAATTGGGTCACGTGGCTACCACAGCCACTGCAGACCGCTACATTCCCAGCCGTGAATCTTCAATGTTATTGCGGTCCTATGTGACAATTCATAGGATGGGACGAGGTCCAAACGTTAAATGCCTCTGGTCAGGTCTTAATATCAGCCAGGTCCACAAAAATATTTCCGCATTCTGCACACCGCATTCAGTACACCCATCACCATCGCCACGGTTACTCGTCACGCGACACCTACCCCAATCATTCTTCCAGCAACACGCAAAATATTCGGATACAAATCAAGCCCTGGCTGTAGCCGAGCATCCCAACTGACAGCTGCATCTCCCGGCACCCACGACGAGCACCTTGCCCAACGACAGCAAACAGCGGCAGCGACGCTCGCGGCGCCGCTGAGTCACGCCGGGGACGGGTTCAGCGGCTCCTTGGCGAACTCCTCGGACGCCTCCATCGCGAGCGACTGCCGCTCCCTGGCTTCGTCGCTGCCGCCGCCGCCGCCCCGCACCCTGGACATCATCGCCGCGTACAGGCAGCCGTAGACGGCGGCCACGACCATCATGAGCGACGTGATTCCGCACACGACCCCCGCCACGGCCAGCGTGCCCACCGCACGGCGCACGTTCACGGGGGGCTGCTTGGGCCGCACGGTGCAGAAGGGGGGGGGCGGCGGCGTCGTCGTCGGCGGCGGCGGTGGCGACAAGGGCCCCCACTTCATCCCCCTGCTCTGGGTCGCCTGGCGAGGCCATGACCCCGGGCGAGGGCGCGACCCCGGGAGAGGGCGCGACCCCAGGCGAGGGCGCGACCCCAGGAGAAGCCACGACCCCGGGCGAGGGCGCGACCCCGGGCGAGGGCGCGACCCCGGGCGAGGGCGCGACCCCGGGCGAGGGCGCGACCCCAGGTGAGGGCGCGACCCCGGGTGAGGCCACGACCCCGGGCGAGGTCGTGACCCCGGGCGACGGCGCGAGAGCCGGGTTCTCCCGGAGCGGCGCACACTCCGAGAAGATGTCGGCCGGCAGCGACGTGAGGCTCCGGTCCTTCAGGCTCCTGGGGAAGGAGCACCTGACCTCGTCCACGGCACCTCCTGGCAACGCAAAGTGGCGCAGAGGTGAAAGGTTGCGGAGAGGTGCCCGGCGTAGTTGCTGCCACTGCGCAGGATTTTCACGGTTGTTCTGTCGAGCGCTTAGATGGGTTATCGGTTTGGACCACGTGTCGTTTGGCACGAAATCTATTGGACCACCCATCCGCCCCTGCGCCACCCTGCCACGATGGCGGTTGGTTTATGATACACTTCACGTGCATACAATGTTATTGGCTGTCTTGGGAACTTTTTTGTGATTTAAATTCATGTGCGCTCACTTATATGTCTCCGTGCAGTCTGTCCACTTGTGGTTATATATTCTGTCTGGTGCCTTGGGACTTATTTTACACGTGGGGGAGGCACGATATCAATAAATAATAGTAATTTTAGGAGCAGGGGTAATAAAACATGGATCTGGGTGATAGTGCCTTAATGGATAGTAATTTGAGACCTGACTAACTTTAATAAATAAATGACATCTGTTTACATAGAGTATATTTAAATATTTATAATTAATAATAACATGAGCCGATTAAGTATGGGGCAGAATGCATTTTACATTGGCAGCCCTGGGCCGGTTAAGATGAAACAACATTACTTGGCCAGGAGGCAATACACCCACGAGAAAGAATGCTCTTGGCGTTCTGTGAAATATCAGCAGTATTCGTGATGAGCTGAATTGACAACGCGAAGATAGTGATGAAAGTTTTCTTGGTTCTTTCGGTAAAGTCACGTAGAAGGGAAATAATAAAATAATAAAAATAAAACATAATAAAATTATTCTCACGACGTTTCGGCCACAACGCACGAAAGACAGCATTCAGACGCTGTCTTTCCGACAGACCTGTTCTTCACCTGAGGACGGCTGCTTGCATTGTGGCCGAAACGTCGTGAGAATTGCATTTTATTATGTTAAATTTTTATTATTTTATTATTTCCCTTCTACGTGACTTTACCGAAAGAACCAAGAAGATGAATCCCTGCAGTCACGAAAGCTTTAAATCGAAATTTGATGAAACGTTGTTAAAAATATGCTGGCAAATGCAATGACATGGATGATGATCGTGAGTTAATACATGCTCACAATATGAAGGTGCTGCCCTGAAACTGCTTGCTCACTACCACTCTCCTCTAGGGCGTTCTGGAGAGCCCCAGAGGGCATATCCCGACTAGACCAGATGTTAACGACCTCGCCTGGTATACAGGAGGTCGTAGGTTCGATCCCGATCCCGATCCCGACCCTGACGTCTGTATGGTTGCGTGGATTTTTCTCCGGGTCCTCCGGTTTTCCCCTCCACGTTTAGGAACACGCGGCTAGAGTATTTGGCTGCTATAAATTTCCACTTCGTTGAGCTATCATTTGTCGCTTCTGAAAAAGAGTTACACAGCTCAATGAGCCTTACATGGTAAAATAAAAATAGTTTAGTATATAATTTTACCCATTTATGTTGCTGGTTGGACAGAGGCAGGGGTGATTTAAGAAACTTGCCTCTCCCTTAAACCACCATTCACCACTCTTGGTGATTGAACCGGTAATCTCTGGATATCGTTTAAGAAAATTTTTAAAAAAAGGAAAACCCAACAAAAACAAAGCATGTAAAATTAGTAATTGGTATCGAATAAATGTGGAGGGAAAACAAATCACGAATTAAGATGAAAGAGCAATTTACAACAGATTAATAAAGAAGACCACGATGATTATTGTAACATTTTAAGAAAAAAATGAAAACGGCCGCAATGATTAGAACAATTCAGGACAAGAAGGCGAATGTGAATGACTGACCGGGACACTGAGCATGTCAATTTGCCTGTCTATTATAAAGATCTCTTAGTAAACTTTAATATTTTACGTGGCAACTCAGTTGAGATGGCACATCTCATTGGCAAGGACGCAAAAGGGTTTCGGGTGACACGTAAGCGGCAAACGTGCAATGACACGCGTACACACATTTTGAAATGTTTAACACGCATTAGGTTTTCGCGACCAATATCATCCATAATACAGGTTTTTTTGGGGAGTTAGATCGCGTAAATATATAAATGTGTTATTAAATTGAGATAAATATAAATATGCTTAACCGTACGGATAGCTACAGACTTAATGCTGCTTGGAAGCGAATCGTCAAATAATAAATTGTTTAAATGCATGTCTATACAGGTCACCATACTTCAATGTGGATTACTGTTGAACAGACAATAACAGGCTAATGCTATTTTAGTGCGCACACAATCGACAGGAGGTACAAGAACAATGAGCTTCGTTCGTTACCGTATAATTAACCCAACCGGCAATGGATACCCATTCCCATTAATATGAATTCATTAATCCCCCCCCACCACTTCGCCCAAGAAGGGCTCACAAGTGACGTCATCACATCTACGCATCTATTTAAGGAACGAAACAGGAGGATTTCTCCACAAATCTGACTGTCGCCTGATGAAGCTAGTTGTAATTACTGGCGAAACGTCGTACTCAGTTTGTAAATGTTGTGGCTTGGCTCTCCAACACACCGGTGTGCTGTACTAGTGATGAATTGGCCACGTTCTGTTTACGTGACAACCCTTACTAATTGGCTGTGTCGGGTGGTGGCGGGTTTAACGACACATCGAAATATTTACGCGAACTAACCTGAAAAAAACCCACTGTATTATGGACTTTGAAAGGGGCAACATATGTACGTAACAGGAACGTGTATGCAGCTTTTGTTAAATTTATTTAATGAGGATGAGACCAGTCGAGAGTTGCCTTTGGGTTTCACTGCTGCTGTTTGGGATGGCCACATATTGCAGCTGTTCGAGTTGGTGGTCGAAATAACAATACAGGCCACATGTTGAGCTCGTGGTTTAGACAAGGCCGAGAACATTGCACGTGCAATGTGTTGATTCGAGCGGTGCCCTACTGCAGTTTGTGAGCACACACAACACACCACACACAGACCACACACACACCACACACACACCACACACACACACTACACATACCACACACAAACACCACACACACACTACACACACCACACAGACCACACACACACCACACACACCACACACACACACCACACACACACTACACACACCACACAGACCACACACACACACCACACACACACACACACCACACACACCACACACACACCACACACACAAACACCACACACACACTACACACACACCACACACCCACCACACACACACACCACACACCACTGTGTGTGTGCTAAATCAACACACAGCATACGATTCGTAAATGATACTTCAGTTTGACCACGTCATCAGTGCCCTGATTATCCCAGTAGCACAAGTAGCTACATATGTAGTAGCTACATATGTAGTAGCTACTACACGTGCAGTAGCTACATGTGTAGTAGCTACGGGCCCCGCACTTTCAAGCGCCCCGCGCTAAATGCTTTCAAGCTATCAATTCGGGTTCAGTGATTCTGCACTTGCTCTATTACTATAGTACTATAACGCCTTCAACTTTTATGAACGACCGGGTGTTTAAGGTTAGCGATTTGTCATATTATCTGGCTGTATAGAAAATGAAAAAATACAATTACTTTACTATGCAAGTTAAAAATTAATGTCTTTTGATATTCACGTATATATTTATTTATTTGTAACATATGCGACAGGCCCAGCACTAGCTAAATCCGGCACTGCACGTCATGATATGTCCAAATTAAGTTCATGAACCCCTCTGCCACCCAACACAGCCGTACAGATTAAATTGTCACGTCAAAAATATAACGTCTCAATTATGATTGTTTTATCTCAACGCTAAGTTGATAATAAGTGGCACATCATGGGACCTCCTTTGCCAGTACAAAAATATACTAATAGGGGTTTTCCCCTTTTTTCCGCCTTTTGGCGTCATCTGGTCGAACGCCATATGAGACTAGGCTTCAAAGAAAGTTGTCTCTGGTGTGGACCAATCAGTTTCAAAGACAATGCATAAATTATCAGAGTATTGTTTTTTGTTTGCATTTGACTGCAAGTATTGTGGTTAATGTAAGCATGATTCCTTGCAAAAGGTGTCAGTTTTGTTGCCAGAAAAAAGGGGAAAAACCCTATTAGTAATAATTGGCACGTTCAACGCTCGTACGAGTGATGCCATAATTTAATTAGCTGTGTCGGCTTGTGGAGGGTTTCATAACACGAGTCTGGATAATTGCGTGTCGTGACCCAAACATCAATTACGAAACCATGGCATTGCCTTTGAAACCGCTACCGCGTGTTGAAACGCAACACAGCTTCCCATCGACGCAACGCATTTGCCAACGGCCTCCGCAAAGAACGAATTCGCGACGCCGCCGATATACCTCGGTGCGAGTAACGCTCGAGCCAGCTCCTCATCTCGGACAGGTGGCAGTCGCACTTCCCAGGGGTTGTCGGCCAGGGAGAGGTCCCGCAGCCCCACGAGAGGATGCACCACACCGCCCTCAAGGCTGGCGAGGCCGTTCCCGCGAAGGTGGAGGTGGCTGAGGTCGCGCAGACCGTGGAAGAGGCCCACTGGCAATGACATCAACGCGTTGTGCGTCACGTCGAGACGGCTCAGCCGCGGGGAGTGACGCAGCGTCTCGCCGTGAAGCTCGCGGATCCTGTTGCGGCTCAGGTTCAGCTGTGAGAGCTTGCTCAGCTTGCCGAAGGCGTTCGCGTCGATCGAGTGGATTCTGTTGTCGGAAAGGTCGAGCGCACGCAACGCTTCGACGCCCGCGAAGCTGCCGGCTCGGATTTCCGTGATGTCATTTCCCTGGAGGCTCAGCGTGACCGTGTCCGCCGGGAGGTTGCCCGGAACGTCGGACAGCCCCAGCGAGCTGCAGTTGACGGAGTGCGAGTCCTGTCGGCAGACGCAGTCGTCCGGGCAGCCGTGGGCGACGCACGATGTGGCCACCAGCAAGCACGAGAGGAGGGTGCACCAGTCTGCGAGCACAAAATCGCGTCGTCTAAGAAGAACGGCGGTTCGTGTATAGGGGACTGCAGGCTGCAACGTTGGTACCGTGCAGGAGAAATGACGAATGTGCATGCAGAGTGACAGTGCCACCTCGAAGCGGCAAAACCCACACGCTTAAAACTAAACTAGACTTTAAACTTCGTTTGTTGTTTTTTTTTTTGAATTCTGACCACAGGCATTGTGGTTAATGCAAACGTGATTCCTTGTTAAAGGTTTCAGTTTGGTGTTTTAACATCTTAACGCCTGTTTTGTTGCCAGAAAAAAGGGGAGGAACCTATTATCTTAGACTTTAAACTAATTTTTATTTGAACAGGTAGAGCCCACTGAGCTATATAGATCTTGTTCAGAAGCGACCTGGCCACAAATTATAGCTCAACGAAGTGGCTCATCAAGTGGAAATGTATAGCAGCCAAATGCTCTAAACGCACGTTTCTAAATGTGGAGGGGAGAAAAATCCCCCAGAGGGCCAGGAGAAAATCCACGTGACCAAGGAGATAGAGAGAAAAGGCAAACTCCAAATACACAGGCGTGAGGGTCGGGATCGAACCCACGTCTTCCTGCACACTAGGCGAGGGAGTTAACATCTCGCCACGTAAATGCCGCACTGGCACTGTGTTGACTAGAGGCATCGACAAATTGATTATCTGGATCGTGGCCTTAGTAACAAATGGGGGGTGGGAGGTGCATGGACAAGAGTCGTTGACCGGGAATGGTGTGGTGGTGGTGTGGGGGTGGTGGGGGTGGTGTGGTGGTGGTATGGTGGTGGGTGCGGGGTTGTGGCGGTGGTGGTGGGGGTGCTGGTGGGGGGGTTGGTGGGCATGTGGTGGTGGTGGGGGTGTTGGTGGGGGGGGGGTGATGGGGGTGGTGGTTGAGGTATGATGGTGGGGGGGTAGTGGGGGTAGTGGGGGTGGTGTGGTGGTGGTATGGTGCTGGGGGTGGTGGTGGGGGGGTGTGTTGGGGGTGGGGGTGGTGGGGGGGGGGGTGGTGCGGGGGGTGGTCAAACACAAAAGGTTGAGTGCCAGTGATATATTTATTAAATGATATGCCGTTTGAACGGCAAAGCGATTCTGCTTTGTAAATTCCTCACCTCCGGTTAGCACGGTTCGCCACGTACGATGCGAAATACGTTCAACATTTGTACATACGTGCACACGTAAATGGAATAAGCACACCACCCCAATTTAAATTAATATAATATGTACGTATTTCCTCCGCTGTTGGTGAAGATGTAAGGCAATCTTATCGATCTATGCATGGTGACTCAGGAGAGGTGTTTGATAGAAAATCGATGCATTGACTAATATAGATTGTTGAGTTTCCAATACTTCCATAGAATGGTGGGTACGTAAGAATCGGTGTTTTTTTTCTAATATTTGCTTTAGTTGTATTGCATTGGGTTTGTGTGATCCCTGCAGCTACGCTTATCACAACATGTACCACAATAAATCCACCGCTGATGCCAAATCGCGAACGTCATTTGTGACAATTCATCGCATCACCGGGATGTGAATCTCAGCCATTTAAAGCATTACCGTGATTATGTATGAAGGGTGTTTTAACAAGATGGACCCAATTTCAAAGCAGTACTGCTTTTAAAAAGATGGACCCAATTTCAAAGCAGTACTGCTTTAAAAAAGATGGACCCAATTTCAAAGCAGTACTGCTTTTCAAAAGATGGACCCAATTTCAAAGCAGTACTGCTTTTCAAAAGATGGACCCAATTTCAAAGCAGTACTGCTTTTCAAAAGATGGACCCAATTTCAAAGCAGTATTGCTTTGAAATCGGGTCTTTTAAAAAGATGGACCCAATTTCAAAGCAGTATTGCTTCGAAATCGGATCCATCTTTTCAAAAAGATGGACCCAATTTCAAAGCAGTAGTGCTTTGAAATCAGGTACATCTTGGTAAAACACCCCGTATATACCAATATCGGTCCGTTTTTCCAAACTGAATTGGGTCACGGGGTCAGCGACTCCACCAAGGCCCTCTTCCATCCTGCCTTGCACTCCGCCAGCGGCGTCAACTGTGGCTCCCGGATCGCCGGTCTCTCTCCTCGGCCAGACGCACCACCCCGGTCTACCCAACGCCATCGCCGCTGGGTATTTTGCCTCGAGGACATCCTTCGAGCGTCTCCCGGCGGGGGGGCGAGGTGGGGGTGGGGGGTCTTTCTTTTGGCATCCTTAGTATATATAGGGTGCTTCAAATGGGGTTATTTCATTTACACTTCTGAGAATTTGCAACAATACCACGAGAAATCTGCTGCCTCCGGACTCTGGGGACCACCTGGAGAAAATTCCAGGTACGTGTTGACAATGATGGTGAATGAGTGGAGACTTTTTCAAGCTATTAACATACATTTGTTATCCGTTCCTTTTCCATGAAAACGAAAGTCTCACTTAAGTGTTAGCATTTTTTTGAAGCACCCTATACATGTGAAAATACGTTAATCATTGCGTGATTTTCTGCTTCAATAAGCATTCCTCTGCATGCATAGTTCTCAGCCAGCGGTGGAAATTCATCGTGCCTATGGCGGGGGCAAGTACACCCATGAGACAATCAACTGTTTATGTATTTACAAAGTGGTGCACGTTTGTTTTTATCGACCCCTGGCAGTAGGATGGGCTGAGTCAACCCCCCCGACCATGATTTGAACTCACATCCTGCCAATCGTGAGCCTTTACCACTTTTATTGACAATGCAGGCACAGTACAACGCTTACACGTGCAATGCCATCTGTAATATTTATTCTCATTTAAATTTCTGTCACATTCAGTGGTGCCACATCCCACAGCGCAGATGTCCTTGATAAATTGTATTGACCGGGACCGATCACTAGGCCTCACGGATTCAATACACATCTGAAGGAGTGCGAGCAAAGCTATCTGCAATGCCACAGGGCTCCCTGTGATGTCCCGGAGTGATAATTTCTTTTGAAAAAAATACAACATTCATTTAAATAAACTTACTGACCTATACGAAAAGATGTACAATTCGGTTACAATTATTCGACTTGTAGCCGAATTAGCTTAACCATGCGAAAACAATAGTTCTTTGTTTACACATCATATGAAGTTAAAATAAGGTATTTTAATGTGGTCATATTGAACGTCTGTTACTACTTTAATGGGCATAATGTAGAGTAGATTAGATGTCTATTTTCGAAAGACCCGATGTAAATGGTAGAAATGTAACAATTCTCGCTGCAGCGATTCCATACATTTTCGTAACTTATTGGTGCGATTAATTTCAATAATCACTTGTTCTTAGTTAGTTTTTTTGCTGCTGTGTCATTTGCATTCTTTCTAACATGGTAGAGTTCCGAGTATGAACACCCACACACAATTAAACGTTAAAGGTGCAGCCCTAAAAGTTATTGCTCACGATACTGCTGACCACCCAGGGGAGAGCTCCTCCGGAGGGTACTTTGCCTACTCTTCCACACCAGTCAAATGTCTTGGATGAGGTGGCAGTACCCAGACTTTACCCTACCGGACATCACCCGCCGATCACCAAGTGGCGGTGAACCTATTTAAGCTGCTGGGTGGACAGAGGCGACCTCTTCGTTGCAAGACCAACGCGCTTTGCATTGCGCTAAAGCGGAAACGTACGTACACTTAAACGTGACTTTAATAAAAAAAAAGACACACACACGTGTTCAGATTAAACACAAATGGGCCGTGCTTCTAGATTTGAAGCTTTCGGGACTGCAATGATTCATACTCTTTGGTTTTTTCGGTAAAGTCACGTAGGTAAAAAATAAAATAAATGAAAAAACTAAATTAAATCACGACGTTTCGGGCGCAACACAAGCGTCCGTCATCAGGTGGGAAAGCATGGCCTACTGCTAATTTAGTTGTTTTCATTTATTTGATTTTATTTCTTACCTAAGTGACATTACCAAAAAAAAACAAGGAGTATGGGCCGTGCTTCTCGGACTATTCGTATCATCTCGCCGTTATGTCCGCTTGTGATCTTTCTCCTTAAACGTTCTTGTTGCCTGCATTAATAATGAATAATAAATAGTCTCCCTTTATGAAGCGCCCTTATACGATCGTTCACGGGGCCGCTATGCGTGGACAGGTTGGAAAACAACAAAGGCTCATTCCTAACAGCGTGCTTCAGCCGCACCGAACCTCACAAAAAAAATATTCAGGGCCTACCTTGGCTCCTCCCACCCTCAACCAGTATATATACAAGGACTGTTTTCTTGGAATTTCTCTCACTTGATACAGCTATCGTGCTGTGACGGTTCCACCTGAAGACGGAAGCTTGTGTTGCCTCTGAAACGTCGTGATTTTTATTTTATTTTTTATTTTACTTTTATTAATTTTAATTTTTTACCTACGTGACTTTTCCGAAAAAAACCTAAGAATAGGCGGAAAACAGTTTAACATCAACCGAGGGAAAAACAAGAAGCGAGAAAGACGTTGGAAAATAAACAAAGATGATTTGTCGTGTCTCGGACGTCGTGACCTCGAAGGGGGCGAGGAATTCCAGAGTTTAGTTGCCGCAATTGCAAAGGCACCGCCACCACCCCCAAGTGTGTACCGCTATACCAGTGAACAATGCACAATCTGAGGATATTCATGATCTTGATGGAATATATGGCTGAAGGACCTCATGGCAATGGGTATCGTTAGGTCTCATCTTTGCCATTGTCCAACAATAACTTCTACGTTGTCCTCAAATCTTACCCTTTGTGCCTTTCTTTCTGCGAGGTGGTCCTTGAAAGACTAAGCTAAGCGTCAGCAGCATTGGTGCCCCTTATCCCGCTTCAGTTGTTGCAAATGATACCTCAGAGTAAAGGAATCAAAGCTAATGACAGATTGGGAATGGAATGCACCGAGACGGGTGATGATGTGGCTCAGAAGTCTGAGTCTGCATTGTGGAGATCCTGGGTTCTAGTCCAGGTTTCAGCCAAATTACATTCAACCGGAATCTCAATGTCAGCACACACAAAGAAAAGCATT